TTTAGGATTCGTCCAAAAAATCTAGGTTAATTACTTCTAAACATGGCCAAGTTAATATATCTAATATATCATTAGTAATTGGTTCATTTTGGTCTAGATCATGACACTCCAAGAGGTGGCGCAATTGATTCCTAATTATTGTGTTAGTGCCCAAGTATTTAAATTAAATAATATATTAACTGGAGGAACATTATATCTATTTTTTTCTAGAAAAAATAAATTAGGGTGTCAGTAATTCAATAATTATATAAGTAGTTAAAATAGCTTTGGAAATAAACATGACCCGAGGGCAATGTTAAAATGAGAACCAATAACAAATACTGTTGCATCTCTACCATGTTATGTTATGGAGATTGAAGTTGTTTATGCTTTACATACTTTGGAAAACAAGCATAAACACTATGTTTTTTTTTTTGTTTTCCTTTTTTGGTCTTTATAAGGTTCATTTCGTAGTCATAACTTAATAAGTATTTTTAAAAATAGAAAGAGATGTTTGATATGAACAAAATTAAGAACTATACGCATTCTATTACTCTAATGAAAGATCAAGAATGTATTCCATCAAAAAGTTTGTTCATTGATAAGAAGAAGATGATGAGTTAATTTACAAGTGAAGTGCTATTATTTTGAAAACATATAGGTATGTGATAAAAGTAACTAAGGACATGGAAATATTTATCTATAACTTTATAAGATATGCGTTTTTATAATTTGGAATGATCGATTGAGCTAGATTTAAAAAAATAAAATAAAATTGATGGAGGAACTCCCTACCTATGTCCATGTTCTCCATTTAATTAATTCCTTTGAATAGTTCCTTTAAATGAATAAATTATTTTTTCAGATTTTTTTTTATAATAATCAGGTGCAGAGTTTCTTTCTCATCAAAATATTTTGCGAATAGAAGCCTACTACTAAAGTTGTAGAAATTTTACTTGGTAATTTTGATATTTAAAAAACAAGGAGTCATCAGACACCAAACTTATTTTTTCATGTATTGTTTTTTTTCTATTTTTAAGAACAAAAAACAAATATATGATCTAAATAGTTGTGCAAATACATTTGGAGTAAGAACAAGAGACTCTGTACTCCACACCATAACAACAAATTCATGAAGACGGTCGTAAATACTTGGAATAGTATGGCTTGTTATTATATCAAACTAAAGCTTAGACAAAAAAAAAAAAAAAAAATAGAAGACTCAATCTCAAGCCCACATAAGCCTACAAGAAAATTAACCATCAGTAGAGTGTGAGAATCAAAGCTCATCCTCTTAGAAACATTCAATCATCCAAGACACGAAATCACAGCATGATACACAATTTTGGCTGCTGGCCATCTGTTATTCTTGTGAGTTATTCTTAATCAGTTGTATCACAGAACAACAATACAGTCAGCAAGATTAAGTCAGCATCACCATTTTGTATCTATGACTGGAGACATGCTTACAGGATAATCAAATATCTATAGG